TTACTTTTATTCATAAGAAAAAAAAATATATATATATATACACAATAGCTGCGTTCAGCAGAAAAAGCAGCTTTGCAATTGTTGTAAAATTCTTGAATATTATTGATTTATACATTCAGATCCAATGAGGAACTAAGGGCAAAACCAATCATATTGAAGAATTTTACAACAGCTGCAAAGCTGCTTTCTCTGCTGAACGCAGCCAATGCTTTTACGACGGGTGGATTAATAGTACTCCGTGTAAAGCGGGAAGCACAGACTCTTGCATAATGCATAAAACATGAGGCATAAGAAAATCAATCAATCAGAGTCCTTTATTTCACGGAAAGACAGGAAATAAAGGACTTTGATTGGTTCATCTTCTTGTTGACTCATGTGTTATGCATTATTATGAAAGATGAGCCTGTGCTCCCCGCTTAACTCTTTTTACGTTTCCGAACGATCCCACCCGAATGCATACCGCGAGTACATACCGAGTTTTCCGAACGGCTGGTGTACATTAGTGGCACACTAGTGTGTATTTCCGAACGTAGTCCTAGTGATACCTTTTCATGCACACATGCTGCGATGCTCGACGCTTATTTTTAATGTCAAAATAGGACACACGATCAAAATTAATGCTTGATATATTCGTCAATTTTTATCACACGACATGGAAGTCCGCATATAAGTAAAAGTATAGAATGAGTGGACAGACGTACAAAGTCAGATTGCTACCATTGATGGATTTCCAAATTAAACTATTTAATGTGATTGGCTGTGGTATATATGAGATTGACGTATTTAATCTTAAATCGTTAATACATGGAAGACCGTATATAAAAATATAAAATAACGTGGCTAAACGTATAAAGACCGATTACTATAAGCTGTAGATTTCCTAATACATTGCTCTAATACTTTACGTTATATGCATTTCCGAATTATTTTCGGGATTTATTAGTAACGGATTTCCAAATAGAAATAGTATTAACTTTTACTATGCAATCCATTAAACAGATTATATATATTAAATATGGAAATTCTTGCTTGAACCATTAGTATGTATTTCCAAATAAAAATTCAGT